TCTGTGAGCGGTCTTATCTAGGAATTGTATAACGGTCAACCATGGGACGTGCGCAGTTGTCCGGATACGGGTGCGGAAGAAGACATGTATAAGCAGTGTTTTCAATAAAAGTTGTTCATCTCCGGTCTTAATGACACGTTAAAGGCCAAAGGTTCTTTTTTTTTTTTTTTGTTTTACAGTTGTGTTTGTTACAAGCTGGGTGCACTCGATCTCACAAGGAATGTTTCCACCCTGAGGCAGGCAGATATCAGAGGCACCTTAGATTCGGTTTACTATCGCGGAAACCGCCTTGTCCCATCTTGGATGCCTATAGTTTAAAACGAACCTTGGCAAAACTGGTGGTTCAGTTATAATAAAAGTACCTTTATTTTTCAAAAAAAAAAAAAACAGTGTTGAAAAGGTGACACGGGAAAAAAGCTGTAAAAACAGCTTTTTTCAGTTCGGTGCGACTTATACTGATTTCTTACAATTACAAGCGAACACGCATAATTACAGCATTGAACGAATGACTGAATTATGAAAATCCACAACGTAATGCCACACGTAAAATTTTTAAAAGGTATTAGGGGGAAGGTGGGAGGAAAAGGGGGGGGGGGGGGGTTAAGGAGGTGCGCTAACACTTCCCATCCACGACGTAGGAACGGAGGCTGCGTAGTAGGTTAGGAGCTGCGTATCAGTAGAATAATTTAGTAGGCACATAGGCATTTCACAGTCAGACTGTATGCGCGCCGGCATTTCAGAGAAACTAATGCAATGCTGGGAGAGGTGCATGGACGAAGAAAAAAAGACACAATTCCTTCGTCACGTTATGCACTGCATATCTAACATATGACATCGATAGCAAGTACTGCTCATCAGAAATCTCACCAACTGTTTTCACACCCTCATTGCATCTGACGGAATGTTTAAGCCTGGCGATTGTTTCGTCACGTATAACCAATTACCGATAGGCAGACGCGGGACATTTTCTGTTCAATGGCTGGTCAGGAATACACCTGGTGACTGGTAAAATCTGACTCATGCACAACCTCCCGCGTGCCTGCTTGCCAATGTTCAAGAAAAACTTTTTCAGTTCACGATACAGTAAAGAACAATTCCTTCGCGGCCGTTCGGCCATACTCTCTGAAGGATGGTCCCCAGTTTTGCGATTGAGTACGTCTGACTCCAACACAACCGGTTTTTAAGCCGCTTATGACTGCTTACGAAGGGCCGCGCAGCAGCAATGGTGGCCGTAAGCGGCTTAAAAAAGGTTGTGTCGGAGTCGGTCGGAGTCGGTCGCAAAAGTGTGATCCAGCCTCGAGCCTCTTCATGACGGCTTCCTTGCACAGCGACTTGCCGTTCGGCGAACCGAGCTTTAACGAGGAAGCCCTGTCGCCGCTGCGCTGTCGACGAGCAGCTGTGTGACGGGGTCGTGCTGGTTCCCTTTTCACAGCCGAAGCTGTGCGTGCCCCTTTTCAACAAAATCTAATAGCGTTCGTACGCAAAATAAAAACAAATAAAAAAAAATTTGATTGTGGGAACAAAGCGATAGCGCCGCTGCCCTATCACTCTCGCTCTCAATCGCTGGCGCCACCCTCACAACACGTCCTCCATGGCAAGACGGCGCCGAAACGCACAATGCTCCTTTTCTCTTTCCCTCCCTCTCTCGCCGCGGCGGTTCAGGGTTCTACATTCTCCGGCGCGTCTATAATTTGCTCTCCGCCTATGGAGCTTGAATGGCAGGCGCTAGAGCCACTAAATGAGCTGCGCGTAGAGTATCGGCACTCCGTTCTCCGATTTTGTCGTGGGCGCCGCCATTTTGGATAGTATGCAGAGCAGACGCAACTGCCGATCGTCATGATTCAAAAGTGCGACTTCCTCGGCATTAGATTCAGAGTTAGGAAGGTCATGTGATATTGCTTTGCTCTGTCGCGAACTGTTTAAACATCTGTGGAGGGAAGAAAAGCGTTTCCTGTGATTTCAGATAAAGCTTCAAATAACTGGCAACCATTATTTTAAGCCACAATATGGGCAAGTGTCGTTACTCTGAAGCGTAGTTTATTTAGTGGCACTAGCAAGCGCCACTTGCTGAGTAGAGTATCCGGAGTTCCACAGCGGCCCGAGAACAGCAAAGAGCGCAGCAGCCCGATCATGAGGCACGGTAGGCAGCGCGTAAGCGCCTTTTGCACATCTCTTACAACTATTTTACTGAAAGCTGAGCTCCAAGAGCGACTATCCTTAAGCACGTCGATTGAAAGTTAAAGCACATCTTTCAACTTACTTAAAGCACACTTAACAACACTTAAATCACATTTTTCAACGACGCAACAGCCGCTGCCCTCAGTCGCCGAGGACTTTCTGTGGTCGCTTACAACTTTGTGTTCCCTCGTCTAGGGCATTTTTCAGTTGTGTGTAATAGTTTTGGTTCGTAGAAAAATTCTGTTTCCAATCTCATAATGTTCAATACAAAGTGCGGACCTTTTTATTTTTTTTTAGTATCCGTGCGAAAACAAGGAGTGTTTAAACGAAGTTTGTAGACGCCAACACTCTAAAAAAAAAAAAGGGGTATCACCTTACACCCCTTTGTTCCATATAATACACCCCCAATTTTCAGTTCGACGTGCAGCGCCCTATAATCGAACAGACGGCCCCACATTTTATGAGGGGCTTGATAACGGTGCGATATAGCTCTTTCAATAGCTAAAGTTTAAATCAAAGACCACATAAAGAAAACACTAAGTTTTTGCGGTAGGGCCAAAAAAACCCCAATTAGATTTTTTTTTTTTTTTTTTTAGTCAGTAGCACGTACTTTATACCTATTTTAATAAGTCTTATTACACGGCAGTCAAGCCTCTCGTGAAAGTTAGTAAATTCAGATCGACGTCAGTTCGCTGTACGTCGAACTGAAGTTTTGGGGTGTATTATATTGGACAAAAGAGTGTAATATTACACCGTTCTTTTTTTTTTTTTTTTTTTTGACTGAGACTGATGGGTGTTCCGCTAAACAAATTTTAAACCTACCTTATTTCTAAAGATAATTCGGGAGAAACGAAATTTGCCGCAAGTTTGGAGCGCTGGGTGTTTATTTGCTTGCTGCTCTGAGCTTGGGAGTACCGTTAAATTTTGCTATATTTATCGGAGAGTGGCCCGCTTTGTTTAAAGCGGAAGCGCTTCCCGCTAAATTTAGTTGGAATTTGGAAGAATATATTCCGTCAAATTTATCGGGTCACGTGTATTTTTGCGCTAAACTTTTTTTGATAAAATTTTGGCTCTAAGTACATGCTGCGCCAACGAAAAAAAAAAAAAAAGAGGCGTACAAGGTAAGGTTTTGTTGAGTTCACCGTACAGCAAATTCGTATGACCCCATTATAGTGTCCGATCTCCAAATAAAAGACCACGACGAGGGTTTCCTCATTCTTTTTAAACAAAAACGAAAATTTTATGGTTTTCAAAGCCATATCAGTTTCGTATTTTCGTTCCATTGGTTGCCTTGTTTTTGAGAAACATGTTGTCACACAAAGGTCGCTCGTGGAAGCACATTGTCAGCCTCGCTAACCGGAGAGTCCTTCGCGGGCTTCTTTCTATGAGATAGTCAAAAAATCTGAAAGGCTTGTCAGGTTCTGGTGTTTGCTAGTCGTACTTTTATTTGTATTTAGCAGCGAGGGCAATTCGTGCCTGTAAAAGTAATAGTTTTGTGTGTATGTTTAGACAGCGGGGAAGTTGGCTCTAAATGGGCGCCTGGTGTCTCATCTGTATAGGTGAGAAATTCCGCCAGTGCAGTACGACTGCTAGCCCGGGGTCTTGAACGTGCACCACGCAGTAGTGATACACGGCCGCACGCCGGTACGATGCTGATCCAGATCGAAACGGGCAGGAGTGGGTATTGAGCCCAGGGTTCTTCAGCGAGAGCTTTCGCTCCACGTACTCCGAGCTGGTGTGCGCTAGCCCACTCCGCCACCGATCCCCCGCTATGATACTCATCCTGATGATAACTGGCAGGAACGGGTATTGTACGCCGAGATCCCTGGTTATGCGGCGCGTCCTTTCGGACTCCGTATTGCGAGCTGCGGTGCGCTAACACGCTCGTCCAACGATCCCCCCATGCCCATGAATGCGCATGAATGCGTTCAAAAAGCGAGGCGTTATTAACGACACAAAATATTGGAGGGCGGCTACCGTTCATGAAAAGGGGCACATTCAGAGTAAAGAGAAAATAACTCGTTACTATTGAGCTAAATTAGCTGGATTATTTTTTATCTCAGTAACGAGCAGCGTACATGGCATCGTGAGCGAGTAACAAGCAGTGTTCGCAGTAAAACGTTATGAGTAACGTCGCTGCTAGTAACGCCGTTACTTTTTTTTTGGTAACGTGTAACGTACTCGTTGCTTTTTAAATGGGTAATGGGTAACGCAATTGCATTACTTACTTGGAATAACGGGTAACAGAGTTGCGTTACTTTTTACTGTTTTTCCCGGAGACTTGGAAAAATTTACGCTTCAATTTGTTCGTGTTTCTAGGCGCCAAGCCCTGTACATTTTGGGTGTTTTGGGCGTTTTTTTTTTTCCTTTTTTAGATTTTCTTGTGAATATTTAGGTGAAACCGAAAAAAAGTTAAACTATAATTATGTTCAGTTTCTGCATGTACATAATTCTTCTTAAAATATGGAGCTTATGCATAGCTGTAACATTAAAAGAGCGAAATGTCTTAATTCTTAATTTAAAAATGTAACGCAAAAGTAACGTGCGTTACTTTTCATCAGTAATGGTAACGCGTTCCTTTTATTTGCAAGTAACGAGTAATTAGTTTCGTTACTTTCTTTCGGTAACGTATAAAACAATGTTAACAAATCATAAAATTTAGTTCCTTTTTTTACTAGCGTGTACATATTTGCTTTGCAGTCATAAAATTCCAACATCGTGTTCAAGCCTGCTGTTCGGCAGCTGTAGTTTTTTTGTTTTGTTTTCTCACAGTAAAGACGATTCGTGTTTGAATTCATTGTACGCTTGTTTTCCATCCGCAGTGCCGTCGCCGGGGCTGGGTGACGAACAAGAGTACCGTCTCACGCGGTACCTCATGTCCAACTACGACCCCGCAGTTCGGCCTTCATTCAACTCGTCGCTGCCCCTCAGAGTGGACCTGGAGCTCGTCCTGCTACAACTGCTCCAAGTTGTAAGTACCAAACATCCACAAGAATGCATCGCGGCCGTCTCGTATTTGGGATTCTTGACGCCTTCTGGTTGTGTTCGTGGGTTTGTTGACGTCAATACTACGTACCTTTTTCTTTTAATGTTCCCTTCCACAAAACGGCAACTAACATTGGACGCACGTTCCTAATTAATTTGTCGTTAGAATTAGGGAACCAGGGAACCTCGCGCTTTATCGTGGTGTGGCATGCTTAGCGAGCATAATTATAACCTAACTGTAACCGTATTTGGCTGTTTGTTTGTTTTTTTAGCACAAGCCTAATTGGAGTTTAGTAACCACTTTTTATCAAGAAATTCGCCGATTTTTTTGTTTTTATTCTTTTTACCCTACGGCAGTTCATTTCAATGTGGCTACGGACGTTTGTAATTAGAAGTTATCAATATCCGCTGTATTGCGAATATTTCTTTAGAATGCCTGTTTGAATCACATACAGTTCGCGGCTGTAGCCATTTCTAAGTTCTATCATTCCGTTTGCATAGCTAAAACGCAGGCAAGGTTGGATTATCCGGGGTACAATGAATTCAAATGAACCGGGCCCAGACTTGGAGGAGCGCCCCCCGTCCTTGATATTCTAAACAAAAGAAGGGCGGCTATCGTAATTTAAATTGCAAAATACAAAACCTAGCTAGCTCTCAGCCAGAGATCAACTATGATAGCAACTAACAAACAAACATTGCCAATTGAATTGAAGGATCGTGGGTAGACCTCAAGGCAGCTTGCTCTGAGGTCTACCCCTTATCCTTCAATCAGAGCCAATCAGAGCTCGGTGTCGTTCTGACGTCACCAGAACCTCTACAAAAAAAGCAGACGAACTTGCGCTCTGGGTACTCCGTTTCAGCTTAAGTCCAGTCGCAGCCGACGCTACGAGGTAGTGGGACCACACAATCAGCGTCAAAAGCATACCTCATAAGGTCTTTTTATGTTTAGGATTGGTTCGGCGATGATAGAACACGTGCAAAAATACAACGATGATGATGATAATAATAAACACCAATATGGTGCGCTTTTGACGCTGTCTGTTTGGTCCCGGGGGGATTGGTGGCCGAGTGGTCTAGCGCACACTAGAGCCACTCGATATGGCAGCGTAGCTGCCAGAGTAGCGCCACGCTTTTCCCTGTGCCGCCTCTCACCGCGATTGGTCACACGCGGTACCATAGCAACGAGCTGGCTCGGTTTCCTTAACAACCGAGTGACTACTCGTTACGTGACCTCGCAAGAGCCGTGATGTCACCGGTAAGATGGCAGCGCCCAGAGCTGGTGGATACGAGTTTGTTCGGTGCGCGGTAGTCGTAATGTGCCGCTGCTTGCCGACGATTTCGGACTTCTTCGTGCTCTCTGACGCAGGTATAACGTGAAGATCTGAAAGAATGTGACTTTATACCTTCTCTGTGCAAGATCGCTCTGGATATTAGCACCTGTGCGACAGCATCAGTCATTTCGTCGTAGCGGTGCTCGTATTCCTGGATGTGTTCGAGGATCGATAAGACATTTTGGATGCAATTTTCGCATACTCCTAGCCTTGTTTGAACGTTGGAATGTCTGAGAATCAATGCAAATTGTATGCGTCGCATGTTGGACCTTGGGGAAGTTGTTTCAGCCCCAGGTAACCGCGTAGTCACAAACTTTTAGCGAGGAAGCTCCTGCGATCTTTACGTTTTGTACTAATCAGCGATCTTACGATATAGCTTTTAGGATAACATTTTCGCATTTTCTAGCTCCTTTTGAATTTGGAATTTCTGAGAATCGAAACGAAAGATATACGTCATGTGTAGGGCCTAGGGGAAGTTGTTTCAGCCCTGGGTCACCGAATAATCACAGCAATTTTAAGCGAGGAAGCGCCTGCGGCCTTTAACTTTTTGTACTAATCGACGATTTTACGAATTGACAGTTCTGAACACTTTGATAAACGTCCTTTCGTTGCAATAGCTTGCATTTAATCGCAGTGTTTTTTTTTTTTTTTTTTTTTTTTTAAGTGACAAGTTGTCGTTTGCTCCGATGACGTATATGAAATGACCTGCTCTATAAGAATGCATCAACACACACTATGAAATTTATATCTCAGAGGTGTGTTCGTCTTTGTAATAACAAGTTACAGAAAATTATTTTTTACGAGTGTAATATTCATTTTCTGTAGCTGGGCCTGTTTTGTACTCATTAATGTCCGTGTGCCATGATGCTATCATCATGTGTGTATGGTTCTAAATACCCTCTTTGCAATGCCTACAAAAGCCAAAATGACGTCGGCCGACCCCAGCTCACGCATTTGACACGAAAACTGCGTCACTCGCTCGTCAACAATCAATTCGTCGATGAATATTTGAATTCGCGTTCGTGGCCAATGAGTGCACATGAGTGCACATGAGTGCCCTTGCGAATGACAAGTTCTGTGGTGTGCTTAAAAAGCACGGTGGAAGCTTGGGGTCATCGCACCGGTGTCCTAGCATGTCACGACCGCGTGATTCCACTGTTCTCTTTTGAGTTCAGGATTAAAGCTAAGGAAGAAGTTAAAGAATCCTTTCATGGCCCCTTTAACACGGGTATGCGTGCTACACCAGATAAAAATATTGACATTTTGCATGCCGGTAAACTTCCGGACGACCACTTGGCCTGTCGGCAAGAACATCTCATATCCGGCGTCCGTCTCTTTTGATGGCGTTAACAATCCTCTGTGAAAAACGACGACGACGAGGCGATGTGGAACATGTAGCCCATGTCAAGTTCCCGATTCAAGATCGAAGATTCCCAATTCGACCCCGCGGAATCTACAGAAAAGCAGCAGGGAGTTGAGTGGAGATCATCGACAACCTAGAAACTGAAACTTCCGACCCAACGATCACTTTCGGGTGAGCAATCAGCCCTCGATCACTGGCCACACCGGCCCACCAAGCTAAGCCTGGCAGCTGCACAGCTGTGCAGCGAGGCCTAACGCCAACGGAGCTTCACCCGGGACGGCCCAGGGCGTACCCGCACATCTATAAGAGTCCGCACCGCCGATAGCGCTCACCTATTCATCATGGACGTGCAGGATTCTTCAACTTCGCGAACAACGGAGTGGAAACTCGCCACGCCGGCACCAAGACAGATCAAGGCGACGACGGTTGTGCTGAAGCTGACGAACAACGAGCACCTCGCCTCGATAGGCCTCGCCGCACTAACCAACGCCCTCAAAATGGCGGCAGCCCTCACCAAACAAGAGTGTGCAGACACCTTCTTCAAACTCCGAGCGCCGCAGAATCTCCTCATCGTGGACAGTTACAGAGCCACGGCAGTACAAAAAATCCTGACAACGCAACGAATTCAAGTAGTGGGCACTACACACTTCATCAGCTCATACCTGGCGAACGCGGCAGAAAACGCGAGAGGAGTAATTCACGGCATCCCGCTGGACGCAACTGACGACATCATTAAGGAGAACCTTAGAGTACAGAACCGAACGGTCTTGGGATTCAGGCGACTCGGTACGACGAAACCGATTCTCATCACCGTGAAGGGCCCGTCGCTTCCAAGGTACGCCATATACGACTCGGGAGTGTACCGCATGTACCCACCGCGACAACGGAATAGGCAGTGTGCGCACTGCCTCAGTCTCGAACATAACTCGGACGTATGTCCGTGCAAAAATGACTACATACGCTGCACAGCATGCGGAAAACAATTCCCGCCGCAACAAAATCCAAACGAGACGCCGCACGATTGCGAGCTGCGATGCGCCAACTGCAAAGGTGATCACGCCGCCACGGACCCGCAATGCCCAGCCAAGCAGGCGGTAGCGGAAGCTATAAAGGAACGCTTCGAAGCACGTCAAGCACGTCAAGCAAGAGCCCACCAACTGAACACGAAACCATCATCAGACACAAACCCGAAGCAGAACCCGCAGGAATGGCCGGACATCCCAATAAGCAACAGGTTTGAGCTACTAGATGCCCCATCGCGCAGCCTCAGCAGAGGCAGGAGCCGCAGCCGAAGCTACAGCAGGGGTAGGGGATCCAACACTGCCAAGCAAAATGTGACCCTCGACAAACGAGTCAGAAGCCGCAGTAGGGCAAATCAAAGAAAACCCCAACATCTACAACACGACCAACAAAAACGGACCAGGTTCCAAGAACCCTCACACAACCCGTGGTTCCAGAAACATGCATCCAGAGCACATGGCCAAGGAGGACAAACAACAGGAGCCCACCAGGAAAATAACAGTAGCAGTCACCCACGGGTGGTCCCGAACATGCAGGGAGTGGCACGGCCTCACAACCCTCTCCCTCCTCACTAACGGTTCTAAAACCCGCCACAATACAAGCACCAAGCCCACCGCCCTCGCAAGAATACCAGCAAACCAATACAAATGACTACACCGAACTACGCCAAAAGATATCCACTATAATAGCAGAGTCCATACCCACCATCTTAACCGCACTTGCCCCGATGCTCCAACAAATGATCCAACTGGCGCTAGCACCAATACAAGCAGAACTAGCGGCCCACCAGGAGCAACTCAGACCACACAAGCGCGCCGCTATGCCCGCACCCGTCAACGCGAACATGGAACAACATTACAATGAATAACACAAACGCGGGACAACAATCAAACCCGCCACACAACAGCACACCAACGACGTACCAAGCAAAAACAACCTCAAGAGACAAAAACGACGAAATAATCATATGGCAATGGAATTGCAGAGGGTTCCGACGAAAGAGGAGTCACCTCTTGCAACATATGCAAATAATTGGAACACAACCGGACATAATAGTCCTGCAGGAAACAAACGGAGCTCGCGCCATACAGGGGTACGACATGTACACGCAACCGAGTATCCAACACAATCAACGGGTTACCGGGCAGAACGTGATGATAACCCCTACTATGGTAGCCACGTACATCAGGAGACGAGATGCCGGCCTTCCCTCTATACAGTATGATACAACGGCAATCAACACACCCACAATGGAGCATGTGGCAACCAGCA